TTGGAGGAAAGTTCTGAGAGTGCCTTGGACTGCGAGAAGATCCAACCAGTCCATCCTCCAGGAAATAAAGCCCGACTGCTCACTGGAGGGAAGGATACTAGAGACAAAGTTGAAGTACTTTGGCCACATCATGAGACGAAAGCCTAGAGAAGACAATTATGCTGGGGAAAGTGGAAGGCAAAAGGAAGAGGGGCCGACCAAGGGCAAGATGGATGGATGGCATCCTTGAAGTGACTGGACTGACCTTGAAGGAGCTGGGGGTGGTGGCAGCCGACAGGGAGCTCTGGCATGGGCTGGTTCATGAGGTCACGAAGAGTCGGAGACGACTGAACGAATGAACAACAATCCATGGATAGTATTGGACCTGAATAGTAAATTCTTGTTTGCTTTGGAAAATCACTTGTTTTCAACCTTGGCTTTATTATCTTATTTTTAATCCATAAAACTATGAAGAAGGGAAATAGTTCACTGTTATGTATATATGTGTAACATTTTAATTTTAAAAATCTGCCCAGAAAACCTAGGTCTATTTATCAATGGGTTAATTTCAGTATCATTTTTTTGCCAGTCTTCCATCTTGGGAAAACCTAAAAGAAAACTAATCCACTCTATACTCTCTGTCACAGTGACACTTTTGGCCTCTTGGAATCCCTGAGCAGAAAAAATAGTGGCAGAGGAGGCCAGGGACAGCTGGCCTCCCTCTATGTGGAATAACCCTTGACTTAACCACTGATTATATCAAAATTTATCATTTTGGCCCTAGAGCAGTGGTTCACAACATGTGAATCCCCAGATGTTTTGGCCTTCAACTCCCAGAAATCCTAACAGTTGATAAACTGGCTGGGATTTCTGAGAGTTGTAGCCCAAAACATCTGAGGACCCACAGATTGAGAAGAACTGCCCTGGAGCCTGCTCTCAATTTATATACAATCATATATGGTAATTACATGATACAGGGTATTATAATGCTGATCTAACACATTAAATGATCAACTAAGAAGATCCATCAGCTCTCACCTTTGCCAGAGTTTGTAAAAATTATTTTTAGGCTATATAACTTCTAGTTTCCCCAAGGTCTGAACTTTACCATAGTCAGACCAAAGACAAGCCACTCCATGTTGACTTAAGTCACATTTGCAAACACTGACAGACTACATTATATAATCATAATGGTTACACTGCTAATGTGAAAGCATGCTTCAGAGCTAAATCTAATAATTTTCAAAATAGATTGGAAACCATTATTTTAATTGATTAAAAATTAAAGTAGGATAAGCTCTATAACCTTATATTACTTCCTATATATTTTTTATTTGCTCTCTACAACTTCTATTCCTGCTCTAAAGGTGCGATTTGACGTCCTCTTTTGAAAAAAGACTTATCATTCCAAAATGATGACACATTTTCATCATTTTTTTTCATTCTTCTGGTCTCTCTTCCAATCCTCCACATCCTGCCCTGTATTAACTCCTCCAGAGTGACCAGTATTACCAACAAAAAAATACTGTTGTCCAAAAGGAGAACAACAAGCTTTGCACTCTCAAATCTTTCCAGCTGGCAGGCTCCAGTTGCTACATGCAAAGGCTCTCCTCATTCTGTCACATAAGCATAACTTGGAGTACAGACTAAAACCTATCATGTAAACATAAGAGTACACTCAAATAAATACAATGGCTCTGTACTAACACTGCTATATATTTCCAGGATTTATAAAAATGATCGGCCCTCACAGACTGTAAGAGAACAAACTACCATAAATGGAACATCTCCATTCACTTCTATTTTCACACATTCAGAATATTTTAAAGAAAAGTGTGTTGTATATTATATTTTCTAAAAACAAACACAAATAGAGAAATAGATGTAAAAGAAAAGATCAAACTTAAATTAAAAGTAACTTATCATTTCTTCTTTTTTATAGTAAAAGATTAGAAAGTCTGAATAACTGAATCATTAAACGTTTATCATCCAATATCAAATTATGATCTTATGTAGTCCAAAAATTAAACTGAACTGTTAATATGGTTTTTTTTCTTTCAAATAGCTCCCAACACAGTAATATGAACATGTAGCACAAGAACTTTAACAAAAAGTGTTTTAAAATTCCATCTTTATTCTGGCATACATTTTTAAAGAAGGTCTTTTTTTCTAAAGAAAAAAAAACTAAAAGTAATATGACTAATGGAAAAAGATTAAAGAAAAAAGTATAGAATAAACATGAAGAGGAAAATTATAAAATTATGCATCGAATTTCCCATTAACAAAATGTGTTTTTGTTTGATACATGACCTTTCACACTAATATCTCCAAACACTACATCATTTCCAGGACAAAATTCACCAGCTCTAAGAAAAATGATGACCAAAATGACACAGTGGAGAAAGAGGTATTACAGGAGGGGCACTACACTAATTCAACTGAGACCAAATTGTCTTCAACCCCAACAGTTCTCAATGTGCAGAAGACATCCCATCAAGCTACAACACAGTGAAAGATGGAAGTCACTCTTGCTTCCACACATTGGTTTGGCTGAGAGAATAACTTCACCCAACTGTTTCCATTCAACTAGGTCATTATAATACTGTCATTTCAAAGACTAATTACTTTGCAGTTGTACTATAATTCCCTTCATTCCTAACCAAAATATCATCCCCCAGTCCAACACTTCTGAAGGGCTGAAGGGTATAAAAGTGGGCCCCTCCTATTCTTAATTTTTCTTTCGACTATGAATAGAACTCACTTCATTTGTTATTAACATATGTAAGCTACTCTGGAAGCCTTCTCATCTAAAGACAGGTTACAGGCTGTTTTTTAAAAATAAAATAAACAATCATCTAAATAATAATCATGCCAATATCATTTTAATTGCTTCAAGGTGATGGATCTTACTATAATATTCAATCTATGTGTGAGCTTCTTATAATTAATGGGCTTGATAGCTTGCAACTTTCAAGGTAAATAAAATGATATTTAAGAGTGGTTTCACAATGAAATCTTGTTCTAAGTGTAACTTTAAGAGACAGATAATGACAACTCTGAGGGATTCGACAAAGAATTTTTGTTTGCAAAGATCAAATGCAATCAATCATACAAAAACTACTGAAGTCCATGGGAGAAAGCCTGTGGTCCTTGATTTTAGGCAATGGGCATTTTGTACAAATTGTGAAATGTGCATTCGAATACCCCTTCTTACCTCTTTCATTGACTACAAATTTTGTATTTGTAACAAAAAGCTATGTGGTAGAGTAAATTAAAATTTAAAAATATTTGCACATGTGCAAATATCTTAACATCTTTCCAAGATAGTATTTCATCTCTCAATGCCATTGAGTATAGATTATTGATGAGTGTACTAAAATTCAGAAGGTTAAAACAGTTTAACTTGTCAAAGAACTACACCAGAAAAGATAAACTGTCACATGTATTGTGACAAGTCCTTATTATCATGCTTACAATGAATTGCTAATTCTGGTGCACTAATTCACTGATACCTGTTAACTGAAACTATGTCATTGGTTGTAAATTGTTTTCAAAGTGCTGGGGGGAGGGGGGGGATTCAGGTCTATCCCAGCTATCCAATCAACTATTACAATCTTATTTCTTTTTAACAGTCATCTGTTAAGAAATATAACTTAAAATCAGGTTTTAACTGTATCAGACAGTGCCAAAACCAATACAGAGATTATTGTCTAAGAAACATGGAAATTGTCCTCTTGAAATCATGCACTCCTGAAATCCACAAACTAAGGCCCAAGGGCCAGACTCAGCCCTCCAAGATCATCTATCCGACCCTGCTCTAAACTTTAAACCTAGGGTTACCTGAAGTCTAAAATGGCTTGAAGACACACAACGACAATCCTAATTAACTTGACTATCTCATCTGTCGAAAACAGGTCCAGCTTCTCCCTGAAATATTGGTAAGGTTATGTTGGTTAAGATTTTTCTTCATTTTAAATACTGTATTGTACTTTTATGATTTTTACATTACAAATAAGATATGCACAGTGTGCATGTACATGGTTTTTTCAAACTATAGTCCACCTCCCCAATAGTTTAAGGGACTGTGAACTGGCCCCTGCCTAAAATGTTTGAGGACCCCTTACTATAGAGTAAGACCAACAGAATTCAGTAGGAATTATATTTGTCCAGGAAACAGTTTTATGATTGCAGAATAGAAGAAATGCATCCCTTTCAGTAGGATTATAAATATTCCAGTAAACCATTGAACATATACAGAGGTTCTATATCACACAGTTTAAAAAACATGGAGAAGACTGTATTCCTCTTGTGGTAATTTGCCAAACATCCTTTAAACATAATGCTTATCTACAGTATCAGTTTGACACTTAAAGGTCGCACAATAGCAGTTTTCATGTGACTTCATCTCCTGTTCTTCTACCCACTGTAAAGAAGGAAATAACTATTATTATCACCATACCAATACTATCAAGTCACCAATTGTCACTTGACCCTGAGTACTGCTTTAAGAGGATGAAAATTCAACTATGCATGTTTATATTTTAGAAATGTCAGAAGTAGCTAAGGCCAGGGCTCACACATCTTTCCCCTTATTTTTGGATATTTCAAATGTCCGCAGTAAGTACCATATAAATTCACTATTTTTTCTGTGCATTACACAGCATGCATAATGAGAGGTGGAGAGAGAGGCAGTTCATTTTTTTCTTGCTTTCATTCTTTCTACAGATATGATCTTTATGAGGTTGAGCCTTAAAAGACCATGCATATATATACTGACAACAACAAAACCAGTGATTTGCGAGTCCCTGAAAAACATCTGGATTCCTGATATAAACTATGGTTACTTAAGTTTAAGAATGATATAAACTATGGTTACTTAACAGTTTAAGAATGATAAAATGCAGACATAATATGCTTCAATGACAATGCAATTATAACCATATGCCAGTTAAATATAAATCATATGAAACACTGGAAATAAATGCAATGCTGAAATTATGAACTATATATGGTTGACTTACCCCATTCTAGATATTCCATAATATTCTTCTCTCTCCTCAAAGGTGAGTTATTACATTCATCATAAAGGCAGATCAGTATATCCAGCAAGGTTTCCACACTAAAGCATTGCCCATTTGTCTGAGTTGGTCCATCCAAAATAAACTGTTCCAATTGTCTCAAGCGCACTTCTCCAGACATGGTTGCTTCAGTTTTTAACAGGTTTTCTCTCTTAATTATTATTATTAATACTATTATAAGTTATCTTCCAAAAGCCTAAGACATTAGAATAATTACAGTTCCTTAAAAATATTTCGAAAAGTCAATGCTTCGAAGATGGTGCTGAAACTACAATCCATCCCAGAATTCCCATTCTGAGACCTATATCTTGGTCAGTTCCTCCACAGACATATACAATATATACAGAATATTAAAGAAAAAATAATTAGCCTAAAATCTCTTTTAATACATTTAAAAGAAGAGAAAATATATACTTTATACATTTAAATAATAATTAAAAAATCAATCTAAGTCTGGCTCTATTCTCCCCTCATATATAGATATAGAAGATTTTAATGGTCTCCTCCTTCATTCAAAATTCAGATCATGCAACGTAATCCAGAAATGAATCCTACTGCATCATTTACGTGTAAAATCCCCATCAGCAATTCAAGGAAAGGGCAGCAGGATGATCTTCCAATAAGCAGCCGGGAGGGCAAAGAAGAAGATGCATAGGGTTTGGGAGGTCTAATGCAGGAGAATTTCCACCACCTCCACCATCTTCACCTCCTCCACCACCACCTCCTCCACCACCACCTTCTCCACCTCTACCACCCCTTGGAAAATGCATCAGTGGCAATTCTGGGAAGGTGGGGAGAAGTAGCTTTGTGGGGAGGCAGGAAAAGTCTCCAGAAGCAGAGCCCTTCCTTTTTCCTGTGGGAGGGGGGGGGCACCCACAATCTTCTCTCTCCTTTTCCTTGGCCAAGAAATCTTTTAAGGCTCTTCAGTGAGGCAATGTAGACAGATTGATAGATATTTACACAGTCCCAAAGTCTTCCATTTCCTATTGAGGAATGGAGGGGAGGGGGGTAAATAAAAATAATCGCCACCCCCTCCTCCTCCTCCTCCTCTCCGCCCTGCGAAGGAGAAGGCTGGGCTAATAATAATAATAATCCTCTCAAATCCCTTCCATGTTGGTGCGTCTCAAGCTGCTGGTTGGGAGGGAGGGAGGGATGGATGGAGGGAGGGAAAGAGGGCGACTGAGGGTGTCACGACACTGGCTTCTTCTTCATCATCATCATCCTCTCCTCCTCTTTCTCCTTTGCCTCCTTCAGCAAGAAGATGCTTCCTCAGCAAGGAAGTGATGATGACAATAACAGTGATGCTCCGTCTTTCCCTGAAGGCCCCTTTTCCTCGCTTCCTCAGAGCTCAAGGCATCTTCTCCTCCTCCTCCTTCTTTCCTCCCCGTGAGGCAAAACAGGACGACGTGGTGAGGCACAGAGAGAGAGCTTAAGCGCCCTCCTGCTGCTGCTGCTTTCCTCTCCTTCCTTCCTTCCTTTTCCCCCTCTCTCTCCTCTTCCTTCCCTCACTTCCCCTCCGCTTGGCTGCTGCAGCTGCTGCTCTGGGCTGCGACGGGAGCCTCAGGATCCAACATGGCGGCCCTTTCCCCTCCCTCTCTCCCTCTCTCTCTCCCTCCCCTCAGCCCAGCCGCAGCGAGAGGGGAAGGACAGAGCGGCTGGGAAGCGGCTGGGAACGAACGAGAAGGGAGGGAGAGGAGCGGCAGGCAGGGGATGCTGTGACGGCAGCAGGGAATGCAGGGATGCTGGCGGACCGAGGGGAGGGGCCAGAGCGCGCGGCGGCGGCGGCAGCGGCGGGCCGGGAACGCCCTGCGGGCTACTGCAGGACTGGAGGACCTGGTTGCTAAGCAGAAGGAGAGGGAGGGAGGAAGGGAGCCGCGCGCGCCTCACGCAACACAGGGCTCCGCTCCTCCCGCTAGGCCGCGGCCTTTTCCAATGCCTTTCAGCAGTATTGTCGAAGGCTTTCATGGCTGGAATCACTAGGTTCTTGTGGGTTTTTTCGGGCTATAGAGCCATGTTCTAGAGGCATTTCTCCTGACGTTTCGCCTGCATCTATGGCAAGCATCCTCAGTGGTAGTGAGGTCTGTTGGAATTAGGACAATGGGTTTATATATCTGTGGAATGGCTGGGGTGGGGCAAGGAGCTCTTCTCTGCTGGAGCTAGGTGTGAATGTTTCAGCTGATCACCTTCATTAGCATTTGAAGGCCTGCCTGAGCCTGGGAAAATCTCTTGCTGGGAGGTGTTAATCTGTGTCTGGTTGTTTCCTCTCTGTTGTTTTGCTGTTGTAATTGAAATCCACAAGCATGTGGACAATTTCAACAGAAAGGAAGAGACCATGAAAATGAACAAAATCTGGCTACCAGTATTAAAAAACTCTAAAATTACAACAGCAAAACAACAGAGAGGAAACAACCAGGCACACATTAACACCTCCCAGCAAGAGATTTTCCCAGGCTCAGGCAGGCCTTCAAATGCTAATGAAGGTGATCAGCTAAACATTCACACCTAACTGCAGCAGGGAAGAGCTCCTTGCCCCACCCCAGCCATTCCACAGATATATAAACCCATTTTTCCTCCTTCCAACAGACCTTCTCAACCTCTGAGGATGCTTGCCATAGATGCAGGCGAAACGTCAGGAGAAATGCCTCTAGAACATGGCTCTATAGCCCGAAAAAACCCACAAGAACCTTTCAGCAGTGTTTCTCAACCTTCCTCATGCAGAGACCCCTTAATACAGTTCCTCCTGTTGTGGTGAACCCCACCCCACCCCAGAAAATTATTTTCGTTGCTACTTCATAACTGTGATTGTGTTACTGTTATGAATTGTCATGTGTTGTTCATTCCTTCAGTCGTTTCCGACTCTTCGTGACTTAATGGACCAGCCCACGCCAGAGCTCCCTGTCGGCCATCACCACCCCCAGCTCCTTCAAGGTCAATCCAGTCACTTCCAAGGATGCCATCATCAAGTTTGCAGACGACACCAAACTAGGAGGGATAGCCAATACTCCAGAGGACAGGAGCAGAATTCAAAACGATCTTGACAGATTAGAGAGATGAATGGCCAAAACTAACAAAATGAAGTTCACCGGATGCACCGGGATTGTGGTGCAGCTGGCTGAGTGTCAGCTGCATTAAGATCACTCTGACCAAAAGGTCATGAGTTCGAAGCCAGCCCGGGCTGGAATGGGTGTCCAGCCATTGTGTAGCCTGTTGTCGACCTTTGCAACCCTTGCATCTGTCAAGTAGGAAAATAAGGTGCCACCTTGTGTGGGAGGCTAAATTAACTAACTTATGAGGCCATAAAGAAAACTCCGGGGAATGTCGAATGCGGAAGAACTTCATCGGTGTCGCTGATGGACGATGAAAGCAGCAGCTCCCCTGGCGGCCATAAAAAAAAGAGTTAAATAGCCTCTGTGTATTGTCTGTATTTGTTGTCTGTCAAACTGGCATTGAATGTTTGCCATATATGTGTATACTGTAATCCGCCCTGAGTCCCCTGTGGGGTGAGAAGGGCGGAATATAAAAACTGTAAATAAATAAATACGTTCAACAGGGACAAATGCAAGATACTCCACTTCGGCAGGAAAAACGAAATGCAAAGATACAGAATGGGGGACAATGCCAGGCTCGAGAGCAGTACGTGTGAAAATGATCTTGGAGGCCTCGTGGACAAGTTAAGCATGAGCCAACAATGTGATGTGGCGGAAAAAAAGCCAGTGGGATTTTGGCCTGCATCAATAGGAGCATAGTGTCTAGGTCCAGGGAAGTCATGCTACCCCTCTATTCCGCTTTGGTTAGACCACACCTGGAATATTGTGTCCAATTCTGGGCACCACAATTCAAGAGAGATGTTGACAAGCTGGAATGTGTCCAGAGGAGGGCGACTAAAATGATCAAGGGTCTGGAGAACAAGCCCTATGAGGACTGGAGGACCTGGTTGCTAAGCAGAAGGAGAGGGAGCCGCACACACCTCACGTAACATATGCCCCTCTCCTCTCGCTAGGCCGCGGCCCTTCCAATGCATTTCAGCAGTGTTTCTCAACCTTCCTAATGTGGAGAGGAGACTCCTTAATACAGTTCCTCCTGTTGTGGTGAACCCCCCCCCCCCCCAGTTACTGTTATGAATTGTAATGTGTTGTTGTTGTTCATTCGTTCAGTTGTTTCCGACTCTTCGTGACTTTATGGACCAGCCCACGCCAGAGCTCCCTGCTGGCCGTCACCACCCCCAGCTCCTTCAAGGTCAATCTAGTCACTTCAAGGATACCATCTGCCCTTGCGCCATGCTACTCTGTTGCTGAGTATGCATGCCCAATATGGAACACATCTCACCACGCTAAAACAGTGGATGTGGCTCTTAATGAGACATGCCGCATTATCACGGGGTGATAATAATATCTGGGAGTCACTCTGGACTGTGCTCTGACCTACAAGAAGCACTTTATTTTATTTGTCGTGTCAGGGCAACCAGTCATATTACATTTCTAACAGAACAAAGCAAACAAACAGACAAAATACAAAATTGTGAGTTTGGTAGTTGATTAAATGTCCTTTGACCAGTATCTGGCCACTTGGAGTGCTTCTGGTGTTGCGGCAAGAAGGTCCTCCATTGTGCATGTGGCAGGGCTCAGGTTGCATTGCAGCAGGTGGTCAGTGGTTTGCTCTTCTCCACACTCACATGTCGTGGATTCCACTTTGTAGCCCCATTTCTGAAGATTGGCTCTGCATCTCGTGGTGCCAGAGCGCAGTCTGTTCAGCGCCTTCCAAGTTGCCCAGTCCTCTGTGTGCCCAGGGGGGAGTCTCTCATTTGGTATCAGCCATTGGTTGAGGTTCTGGGTTTGAGCCTGCCACTTTTGGACTCTCGCTTGCTGAGGTGTTCCAGTGAGTGTCTCTGTAGATCTTAGAAAACTATTTCTAGATTTAAGTCGTTGACGTGCTGGCTGATACCCAAACAGGGGATGAGCTGGAGATGTCTCTGCCTTGGTCCTTTCACTAAAATGACCAAGGGTCTGGAGAACAAGCCCTATGAGGAGCAGCTTAAGGAGCTGGGCAGTTTTACCCTGAAGAAGAGAAGGCTGAGGGGAGATATGATAGCCATGTATAAATATGTGAGAGGAAGCCACAGGGAGGAGGGAGCAAGCTTGTTTTCTGCTTCCTTGGAGACTAGGACGCGGAACAATGGCTTCAAACTACAAGAAAGGAGATTCTATCTGAACATGAGGAAGAACTTCCTGACTGTGAGAGCCGTTCAGCAGTGGAACTCTCTGCCCCGGAGTGTGGTGGAGGCTCCTTCTTTGGAAGCTTTTAAACAGAGGCTGGATGGCCATCTGTCAGGGGTGATTTGAATGCAATATTCCTGCTTCTTGGCAGGGGGTTGGACTGGATGGCCCATGAGGTCTCTTCCAACTCTTTGAGTCTATGATTCTATGATTCTATTCCACTACTATATATGATTTTAAAAAATCAAATGTAGTAATGGAGTATTATGCATTACTAGATTAGGTACCAGGCAATGACTGGGTAGGTATTATGTAGTCAGACTGGAGGGCTGAAGTTTGTCCTTGCCTGCTGTATACTGAGGCAATTTATCAAATCATGCATAAGACTCCATTACTACATTTGATTACTGGAACACTGAAAATAAATGTAAACAAACACACTAAGACATACCTGCTTTAATGAACACATAAGTAATAAAATTTCAATAATAAAACTATTTGATGAACCTCACCCTAACTGGAGACAAACCTCTGCTAATAAACACATAAGTAATAACAATATTATATAATTAATAAAAGTATTCACTGAACCTCACCCTAACCATACACATACCTCTGGTAATAAACACATAAGTAATATACTTATTTGATAACTATTTGATGAACCTCACCCTAACTGGAGACATAAGTACAAAAAATATTTGATAAATAATAAAACTATTCAATGAACCCCACCTTAACCTGAGCCATACCTCCTATAATAAACACATAGGGATAAAAAGTATTCAATAACTATAAAATGACCAAAGACATACCTCCACTAATAAATATGTAAGTAATAAGCGTATTCGATAGCTAATAAAACTATGCAGTGAACCTCACCTGAACCTGAGAGACCTACCTCTGCTAATAAACACATAAGTACAGAAATATTCAATAACTAATAAAACTATTCAATGAACCTCACCTTGACCGGAGACATATTTCTGCTAATATACAGATACGTAATAAAGGTATTTGATAAGTAATAAAACTATTCAATGAAACCCACCTAACTGGAGACTTACCTTACTTCACTTCACTTAGGCGATCCCTCGTTGGACGAGTAAGATGGTCTTCCATTATGGATTTCCTTGTGGGTCCGTATGTGGCTGTGGAGCCCTATTCTTGCTCTGCATCTTCTTCCGCAGTGAGGGCATTGGTTTCCAGGTGGAAGGCGGTCCCGGTCGGGGTTGGCTTGACGCGCCTTCCTCCTGGCACGTTTCTCTCTTTCACCCTCCACTCGTGCCTCCTCAAATTCTGCCGCACTGCTGGTCACAGCTGTCCTCCAGCTGGAGCGCTCAAGGGCCAGGGCTTCCCAGTTCTCAGTGTCTATGCCAGAGTTTTTAAGGTTGGCTTTGAGCCCATCTTTAAATCTCTTTTCCTGTCCACCAACGTTCCGTTTTCCGTTCTTAAGTTCGGAGTAGAGCAACTGCTTTGGGAGACGGTGGTCAGGCATCCGGAC